TTCCTTTAAGTTGCCACTCTCACCTCTGGGAATTCCCAGGTAAGCTGACCTTTGATTGGGGTTTTTGTGCTTTCTAGTACAGAATTTCTTAAAATCTTCCGTGAGCCCCAAATCCCTGACCATATAACGCTTCTCACTGTGATGTGAATTATTAACGGATCAGTCATCAGTCTTGCTCTTTTATGTTTCATGCCCACCATACCACATAAGTTGACAATTAAGAGGACCCTATGTGTTTTTTTTTGTTTTCCAGTATTTAACAACCCCAGTGGGGGCTCAGGCATTTAAAGCTTTAACCATCTTGTTTTATTAGCCTGTTATTTGAGGGATGCATTTTTTTTCTTTCAGTGCTGGTAGTTGATAAAACTCAGTAACTTTGCAATGTTGGAAATCATCAGCTGATAAAGTTCACTTCAGTACGTTACATTACATTTAGTACTGTGTGTGCATGTCTAGGGTTCTGCTGTTACTTATTAACTGTCATGTGGTTGCATTGTGGAATGATTTAGTTAATGCAAAAATAATCCATTATTATTAGAAACAAAATAAAGACCCAGTTACAAAAGCTATATATGTGGCAAAACATCATAATTTAATTTGCAAACAGGTTTGTAGTGGAAAGTCGAGGCCATGAGCTCTTCATCAAACAAATGCATGATGTCCTGTGTCTCAGGTGGGTTGTTATCTTTTTAAAGGCCTTGTTACTCCTTGTCCACTGATTTCGGTTCTTGTAGGATTATCAAACGTCTGTTGTGCAAGATGGCTGTCAAAGAAAGCAGCCCTCGTTCTTCGATTCTCAAGAACTGACATCAAATACTCAGTTTTCCTACTGAGGTGTTTGATCTCTTCAGTTTTTATGCTAAAATGACTTCAAAACACTCCATATTGGTAACATGCCAAAGAGACAGCATGCCAGGTATTTCTAGGGTAGTTTTGCATGTGAAAACAGGAACGGGAATAGTTCAAATCACCACGTTTTAGGAAAGAACTCTCGAAATGCTGCCCTAGACAAGATAAAGCCCCTGACTAATATTCCCTCAAATATTTTAAATTTCTATGTTGCAATTACAAAAGCTACAGATTTACATAACTCGTCAATGACGCTAGATGTTTAGTCATTGTTTCTGGGAAACAAAAGCAGGATGAACATATCCTGGTACTCACAAACAATAAACAAGACAATAAATCATGTGGAGTTTCCAGATTTTTCTATTGGCTTCCTCTCTTTTCCAAGCATGCTGAAAGTATTTGGTGCAGCATGCTATTCCATCTGTAAGAGTTTTTACTTATTGTCTTATGAAATAACAATGTAAAAAATGCAGTAACACTGTCTGACTCATAGTTTACTGGAATAATTAGATCTTGCATGCACGCTGCAGATGGTCTCTGTGCTTTATTTGAGTCTTTTTTAGTAACACTAGCAGCACGGCTCCGTGGAACATTTGTCCGCCTGTTGCTTGCGCACAGAAAATGAACCCACATGGAATTTTGAGCAAAGAGCCACGATACTCAGAGTATGGATGCCACCAATTTGACTGAGAGCTACCATCAGATTTGCTGAAGATATACAAAGCCCACAGAGGATGTATTTTTGTGCTAACAGCAGGTCAGGCTGTTCATAGATTGCATAAAATGTTTTGATGTCTGCCAGATTAGCGCGACATATTCACTATTCACACATGCTAACTCCTGCAGCTGCTGGTAGTCTCGTGACTACTCAGCCTTCACCTTTTACTTTGGCAAACTGCCCGATGGATCCCAGAAAGCTGATTCTTTTCATTTGGACTTGGGAAAAGCATTTCATCACTCATCCAAGTGACTTCTTCAGCCTGACTGATCACTACAGATAGTCCTGATTCATGTGATAAA